GAAGTTTTCCAGGCTTTTTCCACAATTTTGTTATTTTACGTGCCAGAAAGTAAAATATCAAAATTGTATGAAAAGCCAGGAAAACGTCAGATATTTCTAACAACTCCGTTGCGAACGAATAACAAAACTGTTATAGGGTTGTATGTGAGCCATGAAGTCACAGGACACATTATCTTTGGTGATGCTATCGTACATATAAGTAAATTAAAATCTAGGTCTAGCCCAGACAACTATAAGCCAAGTAATAAAACATGAAATCTAAAAACAGCAACAAAATAGTCATTAATATCGTGGTCGTTACGCATCATGTAATGATGGAATGCCATAAACATATGCTAGTTTGTATGTTGTTTGGTGATCCTCTCGAGAATTTTTTATTCATATAAACGCGCCACCACTTGCCGGTGGAGAGCTGCAAATTTGTCCTATGCTCGGCACTTACGGCCATTGAGCAGAGAGGGATCTTTCCCGTTCCATTACCTACTGCGACACAGGACATCGGTTCATACGGACTCATCCGATGGACCGGTCTTCACGCCTCCCATTGACTGTATGCTTGTGCTCTGAGCCTGGATAAAGAGAAAAAATGTTAATTGTCCCTGACACGATTGCATGACCAGAACAAAAACAAGTAAGGTACAATGTATAAGGTAATATTAAATATATCCTTTTGTCAAAGATCATATATATTTTATGTGCAGCTTCAAATGTTAATCAATTTATGATAATTTTAATTAACTTACCATCAAATCGAATTCACGCAGACTTCTAAAATTTAAGCCACCATAAATCAAATAGAGTAGCAATTTCGTTTTAAAAAATTATTTAGATTATTTGAACCTGAAAGAAAAATACAAACCGTCTGAAAAATGAAGTATTCAACAGGTTTGAATCGCTACATCTATGTGCTGCGATGTCTTCTTGCAGTTGAGTGTAATAGAGGCCCATTTTGTTTTATGTTTAAGACTCCTTATGCTTTGTATTGTCTTCACCAATACACAAACATGGATTACTTATCCACTGACATTAACCCTTCAATTGTTATTCGTCTTAAGTACCCTCTAATACTACTCTCCAAAGTGCTTTTCAAATGAAATCTCATTTAGGTAAGGGTTTGGATAAATTGATACAAACTGTTCATTTCAAGAGCATGGAGTGTGTTCTCTTACTACACTTGGCGCCATCTTTACAGAATTCAAGTTGTCGACTAGGACTTAACATTGAAAACATCAAGACGCAAGTCGAGGAGACTTATTTACCTAAAATCGAAAGTATTGGCAAGCTCCATATAAGTGGTGGATATTGTTGGTACTTATCATTCTCAGGCAAACAATGCATTAGCCGGTCTGGACGGGGAATATTCTCTACACGTGCAAAATAAACCTATGTAACACACAGCAGGTGTCTTAATTACAAAGGTGAAATTAATAAAGTCGAATGAAGTATTTACACAGTCTCAATAGGTAAAGATAAATGAAATATCATGCAAAACTGAGTCGGTAACAAAACGGAATTGTAACAAAAATATATTTCCTTTTCAATTTCTGTATGTCTAATGTAGGTGTGTTTTTTATTATTAAATAGACAAAAGGGTTTTATTCAATACGTATCAGTTGATCGATGTATCCAAAGAAATTGAGAACAAATTCATGCAATAAATAAAAAGCATGTTTTATGTCACATGAAAAAATAAACTGACTACAACAGAATTAATATAGATACTTGAATAGATGGGATGATGCTAAGTTTGACAACTTTTTATAATTGCACTATATTTTTGTTATCATGGGCTGTTCTGGCATAGATCAGCTTATGGGAATCTAGTTAATAAATCAAGTCACAGAAGTTAACATAACATGAGTAACTCATCAAGCAGTTGATTTACTCATCTTAAAGGAAGAAAACGAAGGATTTTGGACGATTGACTCTTATAGATTGTCCTAATACGCTAGGATTAACTTGACGGCATTTTGGGATCTTAATAAAACGATTATGGTGACAGTTTAATTTGAAGTTTTCACAATGTTATCCTGCAGTATACCTTTTCCTGCCATTTGGGTTTACCTTCGGGATCGTTCTTCAGTCTCTCTAAACACGTTTTACTGTTTACTGTGATAACCCTTGATTCCATGCCATTCAGGGGAGTTTGTCTCTCGACACTTTTCCACTCAGACTATATAAACAGGGTGTTATTTTATCTTTGAGGATAAATAATATCGGAAACTGACTGAGCACGTTTTCCGATCGGGCTTGTCTGTCGGCTATGACCCAATCATGGCGGACGACGTACCGGCGCTTCCTCAAAATAAAAAATATTTATAGAAAAGCTACTTTTATTATATTTATTTATCATACTTTTAGAAAATTGTGAATGAAGTGTTGGATTTTGATCTTTGATAACGCTTCAGCAAAATGAAAGTCATTGAAGGAAGGGGTGTTAAATACTATAGTATTAAATGTGGGGGTTTCTTTAGGTAGGAGATGCGACTATTTTTTAGGTTTATAATTTGAACACGTGCACTTCCTAAATTCTAGATAGTTTATAGAAAGCATGACCGCTAAATATTGAAAAAGATGTTCCGAAATCAATGCACAAAAAGAGTTTTGTTAGAGGCTTCTCAACATAATCGAAGAACTTAATTGTCGGCATATTTAGAATTACTCAACTTAATGTAAAAATGAGATATGTCAACATTCGTAGGAAGTCGTAGGATTTTCTACCCTTTGCAACAATCAACATTGCCTTTCTCTTCAGACATCAATACAACCCAAGGAATTAAAGATAATCATGGATTGTATGGAGATTTTTACGCAGTCTAAGAATTACTTTACTTAAAAAAGAAGATCAGAAAGCTGGTTTTAAAGAGACTTGATAAATTGACAAGTATCGATAAACTATACATTTCAAAATCTCCAGCTCTCGTTAAGACTGATATCCTAACAGGCCGACACCTGATCATATATAAACATTATAAAACCTGGAAATAAATCAGCAATGAATTCAGCAGTGAAGCAGTACTTTGGTAATTCAATACAAATGATGGTAAATAAATTATCAGAGAAAAAAAGAACTCAGAGTGAAAATGTTAATATAGTCCTTACATCCATTCATTAATCGATAAAGAGTTAAGAAGAATTTGAGAATGCATCTGTGTATAATCAATATTTATATACATATCTCATAATTAGCGGACTCTATAATGTTTAAAATCGCGAAATATATCGAGGGTAATACCATATGCAAATTGTATGAATAAGGTACATGCGCTTACACTTAGCAATTCCAGGTCTAGGTTTGGACAAGGCTGGTTTGCAAAGCATTTACGGTAGCTTTCTATAACAATACCCTGGATCGAATCTATATCTGTATTTCATATAAAAGAACCAATAAAAAGTAAAAATAATAGGAGAACTGTGAACATCATATTTTCAGAAATGCACTCAGAATTTTCTTTTTTTTTTTAAGTCGCACTTTAACTTATATAGAGACCATTTGCAAATATGATGCAAAGTCGTTCTCATGAAACTGGAATCAGAGCTACGACAGACATTTTGATTTCTATATGGTGTTTCCTTTTTGTTTAACTAAAAGAGAAGAAGTTCCAGCTAGTACCAATTTACCGTTAAAGATAAATACTGACTAGTAACAAACCTCACCTACACCCTTCGTGCCTGCAGACATATAAAAACCTCCACTGCCTCTTTCTTTGGCTACTGCCCTCCCTGATCCGCAGCTATTCCACCTAAGATGCAATTGTTCTGTTTATTTTTTTTTTGACCAGCCTACTTTCCTCCTTCCTTCTGGATGTCATACTGCGGTGGCACAAATCCCGATGTTCTCCTTAGTACTTGGCAAATCCATTGTTTATTTTAATGTAATTCTTCTTTCCATATTTTATGTGTCTATCTTAAACTCAGACATAGTGAAAAGTATGAATGACTTTTATTTCTTGGTTTGAATATATAAAATAAAAAAATATAAAATAATAAAAATAATAAAAACAATCAATTACTTATGTGATATTTTATCTTGGGTACGTACCTACAATAAATTGCAAATGAAAACTTTCAGGTCATATATAAATAACTCCAATAAAGGCATTTTTGTTTATTTAAAATGTAAAGAATAATTAAAAATTTAACTGCTTTTTTAAAATAAAAAATTATCAACAAATTAAAAAAAAAAGAAACTAAAAAAAAATTATCAGAAAATACGTTTTACTCTCAGGGAATCGAAGATGTTGTACTTGTACTATATTTATTCATTTTGAAAAATTATTTGGCGTTATTGCAAATTTAATGTGTCTTTTTTCAGAAAGTTGGATCCTGCTCTCAAAAGTCTGGAGAATTTTTTGTCAGTTTTTTTTTTATTAGAGCATCGACACACATTGCTTAATTAAAAATCACATCAAAAATTGGGAGTTCTGTTAGCGTTACAGTACGTTTAATATGATTATTTGCACTGATATTGCGTATTACACAAATCAAAGATTGTCCTCCATTATCTTTGTCTATAACTAAATCAATTTTTATATATTGCTGTATCTCCATAAGCCTGAAAGTAATTGAAACTTAAAATTTATATAAATCTTGATCATTTTACATTTTTACTTCTTAAAGCCTATATTTACAATGTAAAATTAACAGTATGTAGTAAAATGATGATCGAAGTACAATATTTTTAGCAATTTTATTAAAATCTATGCTCCCTTTTTTTTGGGGGGGGGGGTATAAAAGACACATCATGTAAACAGACACAATAACCTTTCGTAGGTACATGTAGATATCATATGTATTGAAGCCCATTGTAATGCAGGCAAAATGAACGTTATCAGCTTGCATAAAGTTGTAAATAAGATTGTTAATTAAACACGTATTTGGGTCAAAAAATCGTACTGTATTTACTTATTTCTCTATTAAAGACAGAGCAAATATACTAACTTAACTGTATAATTGTGTCAAGGTATTTAAAACAAAACAAAAAACTTTTTTTTCTACTGATTTCAATAATTTATTCCTAATTTGCTAGACTCAATACACAAAAGAAAATCACTGAAAAATGGAAAAACCATTTTCATATATTGTATAAAATTGCGTATACTTTATTGTATCTTTATTTGTCAATAAAATCAGCACTAGTTTATGAAGAGGAAATTACACATCAACTCCATTAATGACGCAAGATTTAGTATAATATCCATCCGCGGTATACAAACACTGTCTTCCGCCCCGACGCTCGATTCCAACCTCACTGCTTTGATAGCAAGTCGTTATTGCAGTTTTATGCGAACTTTTATTAGGATTGTCAGCATTTTATTGTCCTGGTTAAACTCAGAGATGTAAATGCTTGGCGCTCTTATGGCAATATATCCTACCGTAAAACAGGTTCACCTCTTTCAAATTAAAGGGGTTACGATTATCCAGTGTAAAAATCGTTTCCCTCTGGTTTTATCCATGACCGACTACTGATTCCGTATGGAGACCCCAACCCCCCGTTCATGCTCACTGAAGGATATAGTCCCGAATGTATTCCTCCGCCGTATCCAGAGTGAGAGTTTATTGAATGGTGCGTAGAATTATTACAGTTAGCCATAGAATGAGATAAATGTTTGGATGATTGATCATGAGGGGACAGTTGAGACGTCCCATTCGATCCATGCCGACCTATATTCATCCTCGCCTGAGAATTTGTCGTCGGTTGCGTTTGTTGACCTGGGTTTTCGATTTCTGATGATCCCGAACCCGTGCATGGTTTTCCGTCCTTTACTAACACGGATACCGTGCCTTTCCTGGGTGAGGGTTGACGCGGCGAATCCTGCTGTGAAGATGCAGGAGATGAAGGTGGGGACGATGAATCGGTCTTCTCCTTGGCATCCTTTATTTGTCGTTTGCACTTATATCGGTGATTCTGAAACCATATTTTTACCTGAGTTGGTGTCAAATTGATCATGCTAGCTAAATGTTCTCTCTCAGGGGCTGATAGATATTTCTGTTGTTTAAACCGTCTTTCTAGTTCATACACCTGAGCTTGTGAAAACAACACTCGTCGTTTCCTTCTCTGGGTAATCGGGAACTGAATACCCCCCGCCTTGTGCTGGTCCAGGCCCCCTAACGCTGACATATTCATGTTGTGCATTCCAGACGACATCGAGGACATTGCACAAGAACTCGGGCCACCCATCAAGCGAGATACTGAAAATTAAAATACAAAAATATTAAAGAGAGGGGGAAATTGAGACATATAAATTAATTGATATAGATGAGACAGTGTATTGTAATACACCGGAAGGAGCTGCATTTTGTTAGTTTAACGTTTCAATTTTTAACATAAGGGTTTTAAATATAAATCATCTGGTAGTTATAGAATCGCAATGGACATTATTAATACTAAAATATAATTATTTATTTTTTAAATAATTTATTTTCACTTAGAATCTACATTTCTTTAAAAATTCAGTCAACGTTTTAGAATTTATTTGTAAGGATTTATTTATTTTAAATTTTGTGACCTTTACACATGTATGATTCTAACAGATGTTAGTACAATTATAGAATAAATAATTAGAAATTTTTATATAAATGTAAATATTTGCATATTTACAAAACTGAAAAAAAAAATGATTTTAGTGACATTCGCATCAGTAAACAGATGATGGCATAGACATATTAACTGAATGGCTTTCACTTGTTTTTACATTTAGGCATACTAAAATTCCCTTGTTCAATATTTTTGATAAATATATATTTTTTAAAAATAGATGAAAAAGTTTGTGTTCGACGTAAAAGAATTTAATTCTACTGGTAAAACATCTTTAAAAAAGGTAAAGTTAATTTACGAAGATCTATTCCAAAGGTCAACACACAAACCATAACCCGGAAATGAGTCTTAAATAAAATTATATTATTCTTAAACTAATTTAAGCGTAAAACATACACTTAATCAAGAAATATTAATTTTTAAGAGAAGATAAGAGAATTTAATTAATCAAATTCAGTAACAATGAAGATTTTTATTTTTTTTCCAACTTTTTTTTATATATAAATTTTGTGATGTCTTGAAATCTTTTGAAATCTGTTTACAAGGTATACATAATTTTATATTATTTATTCTTTAATTAATTTATTTTGGCCTTTTTCTTTTTTTTTTTCCCAGAAAAATATTAAACAACGCAAATCTTATCATCTTGAATTCCCATTTGATAATATTGCAAAAGTACCAGGGCGATTAAATGTTTTATGAGATTAAGTTGAATTATTACGTCTGTTTATCAATGTTAAATTCGGCCAAATTCTTAACTTTATCTGTTTTTTATCTTTGGTACTTCATCGGTTTGGGTTTAAACTTCTTTTTGTCAGGAATACCAAATCAAAGGACAAAAATATAAAGTAGTTATATCAAGAGTAAATAATATTTCTCAAATAATATCTAAATCACATTTTATGTACACACGTTTAGATGTAGAGATTTTTTGCATAAAAACAAAAATGGAAGAATACTTAATTTATATATAAACAATCAGAGGTTTTTCAGTTTGGAGACTTTGTATTTTATTTATTTAATTATGTATTTTTATCTTGCTGGAAATTTTTATACAAAGCTATTAAAAATATGCAGTAAAATGAGATGCATATATTAAATCATGTAGAAAATTAATTTAATTGAAATTAAGTTTACTTTTTGTTAAGCCATAAACTTAAACTATCTTATGCCATAAAAAACCTGTGATAAGTCAATCCGATTTTTGCGCTAAATTAAGCAAGTGCTTTTAAAGTGTTCAAAATTTGTTTTTGGTAATCTATAATGAACACAACTAGAGGTTATTTTTATAGCTTAACATGGGTCCATATCTGTCAAAAGGTTTAATTCTAAACACGTGAACATTTCATTTGAAAATTATTTTTCCACAGGTGTTCAAAGGCATTAAAAATTCCGAGTAGAAATAGTCATTAAACAAGCTAGATATATATTCCAATAAGATTACGTATTGGCCGCTTCTTAAATCAGAATCTCTTATATCTTATTTAATTCAGCTAATTAGGCGTGCTAGATTATTTTTAAGATGCTAATTTCTTTTTCCTGTGGAGTAAATATAATGAAGAAATACTAATCGCATTGAGAACTTCTGGGTTTGTCTCGACATTTTGATCACAACAAGCGATAACCACCAGGGGAAACAGACAAGAAATATCTGCAGACACCAACCTCTTATGGCGTAACTTAAAATCTTACGTCCTCGTGGAGTCGACAGTCTTAAACGTTTTAAGTAATAAATGTGCAAACCCTTCAACAACTTTTTCGCTTTGTTGAAAAGATGAAATGGACAAATCTTATACCGCCTTAGTTCCACTCGAATTGCACGACGAGTTTCGGTAATACTCATCAAGTACCCTTTGCGATGTTGAAAAGTTTGCGCAATTGACTTTAAAGGGTTAGCATGGATGATACTTACTTGCAAGTCTAGGGTCCGGATTGGTGCCGTACCAGTTGGAGGACCCATGTCTTGTAGGGTCACCGTAATGTCCAAACTCGGTTCCGTTGCAGAATTGGGAGGGATAAGAGGGGGTATGATGTGTTAGCTGGGGAACATATCCAGTATGGTACGGGTTCGTCACTGGTACGCTCATGCTTCCCATTTGAGGATTGGGGTACTGCGTATGGTTCCTGTATGGGTTTAAGGGAGGGATAGCAGCCTCTATGGTGGTTCTCTTGTAGGTTTCTTCAATAGGACTAAGGATGTCGGTGACGGAAAACGGTGTAGTTTGTTTAGGACTGAGGGACATAACTTGTAAGTGTGACACGAGGAGTCCCTCTCCTGAGTGTGCGTTTTTCAAGCTACTCCACCGATACTTTGTTACGTTAAGAGCCAATCTTGACGGTCAAACATATTATCACAATTGTATATCTTTCATTCTTGACAAATTATGAGTTTGGGAAAGAGTACGCATGCGTATAAAGTTTATCTTTGTTGACATTACTGGGTAGCTCCACCCCTTATTGATTGGTAGGTGGTCCTCAAACCGGGTTTCCTTCTGTTTGGGCCATTGATAATGAGAATTAAATCTGTCTTTCGGGGTTTATTAAATACGAAATCATTCGCATTATACTACAGGGATGTTTCTTTAATAATTCCTATTTACTGGTCCCGTTTAACCATTAATAATAAATCGAGCGGATTGAAAATCTTTACAAATGACAAGCTAGTTTACCGAATGTCATATATAATAAGTATTGTATTCGTGATCTTAATGATTTGCGAAAATTGGATATAGACTGATATTTGAATTGAAATTCAAACATTCGCGTAAGAAGTGGCACTTTTTCGTTTTAATTAAAGTATTTCTTGGGAAAAAACTTTTAAAAATATAAAAATTCCATGAACTTAGATAATTAAATTTGACAAATTGAAAGTATATGGTACTGTAAAAACAAAGTCATTTTTGATCTATACGATAACCAGTATTAATATATTTGTGTGGCTATTGAGAAGAAATCTGGAAACTGCGGTATTTTGTTGATGTCAGCGGTCCGCCCCTGCATCGTCCACCTGTGAGTTGAGTACCCCTTCAGTACAACTGTGTACACTGATTTCCACGGGCCTGCAACAGCTTTTCAGAATTTAATGCCATTTTCATACAACATGTATTTATTTTTTGACAATTCCTACTTCACTGACAAGTGCAAACGCTGCATATATTGTTCTCCTTTCTATTTCTGTCAATTTTTTTTCTGAGTTTGCATTTTATATAATTTTTATTTGAAAAAAACCCCCACTCAAACCCAACTTTGACAAAGTTTCATACACTAGAAAAAAGTTCTAATATAAACAAAAACACCAAAATTGAGGCATAAATTATTTTTTTTCTTCGATTTATCGTTCAAAATTATTTGTAAACATGTTGGTTGGAAGAGCGAGAAAAAAGTTAAAGAAACCCAAATTACGAAAGAAGTTTAAAATTAAATAATTAAAATTGTCTTCTTTCAAGGTGTTTTAGTATATTTGGGATATGCAACGTATGAACTCGTTTACCGTTGAGGCGAACTTCTTTTTGTCGGGTACGGGAAGTAACGGTGTAAGGTAAATGTCATTAACTAAATCAACAAAACCAATACAGCGCAAGTCAATAAATAAAAAAGGTGTAGAAAAAGTGAGGAAAGCTTAATTAGAAGGCTTTGAAAGTGACACCATTCGGATTACGTTTTATTATGGATTATGGTAAGTTTAAAAAGAGGCGAAAATTCCTAGCGGTAATCCTTGTTAGGTACGCTTTGTGTTACGTAAGTATTTAATTCCAACAAAACGCACGTGTTTGGACGGTAGTCGGATCCAGTCCGCGTCCATTACTCCCCGCTGATGAGGGACAAAAAAGTGATAACCTCTCTTTTCATCGACAACGAAACATCATAATCCGAGTGAAACTCCAAAAGCCTGTGTACTTTAAGACGTTTTTGGCCGAATATTTTTTTATATATCTTTTGTTTATCAGAAGGGAAGTGGGACCTATTTCCAAATTTTGGAATGAAAGCCATATTTTAAGTAAAGGCGACAAGTCAAATATTTCGCAGTCACGAGTGGAAAGTAAACAAAGAAAGCGAAATGTTGTAATTCATAGAGAACATACTGTATTGCAAGTGTTAACCAAGTCCAAATCACTGCCTATCTTTTTTTCCTAGTAATTCTTACACAAATTATCATTGCCTGTTTTCAGATATTTGCTGCATACTGCGGAAATCAGGTCTGAAGATCCCAAAAAATATAATTTCTTATTCTTAATTCTCTTTTAACATTGAAATATGTTTCGTAAATCCATTGATTGATAGTATAATATAGAAACTAACTAGTCAACTGATTGGTGGTATTGTATGAATTTTTCATTAATTTCAACAAGTACATCAAAAAATTGTAAACCACAAACATACTGCAGAAACCCAGATCCAAATGTAAAAATAAACAAAACAACAAACAATTAATTTACCCATTGAAAAGAAGTTAGAGCCATTCTCTTTTTTTTTTAAATTCTGTTTAAAAATAAAATATCTTGTCATAAAATTAATATTTTTCGAGAAATGTATATCTATAGATGTAGCCCCTCTGTTTGATGTCACGCCCCCAGCGGGATTCCGATCCCGAGCGGTATTGTACCGTGATGTCAAAAGGTGTCGGAAACCGATGGGATATCATTATCACCTGGTCGTTAGGGTAATTAATGATATCATTATGTAGATCTATCTTACACACCTGTGAAGGAGTTCCCGTTTTGCGAAGCTGCTGGCCTAACTATCTAATGGATATCATTCTTACCCCACTGCGCCACTGGGTCCCACGGAGAAGGTCATAAAATACTAAAGAATTAGTGTATGTACGATTTTACAAAGATGAAAAACTTGATAGGAAAAAAATTATTCCAGAAATATTTTCTTAAATTAATTATTTAATGAAACGATGGTTGCCTTTTATTTGTAAGCTGAATAGATTGGGGTGGGTGGGGTTTAAACGGACATATCTTTTTTCGTGTTACTGAAAAAAAAATAATAATTTAGTCCACTATGTTAAATACAACATCATTTTCATTGTATCTTCAGAATAAAGAATAGTATAATGACTCTAAGCATTTTCCTTAAATACTTCTTTTCCTTTATCCATCACGACCGTGTAAACAGGATTTGTGGTCTTAGCTAATTTGTGGGGAAGTACCAAATGCCTGAAGATTAAGAACAGAAATTCGATCCTGTCATCCCAATTGAGAAACCAGATTTACTTACAAAGAAGTTTGAATGCTACGGAAACTTATACTTCTGCCGACGGGGTTTCATTGTTTAGTCACACCAAGTACCGGAGTCAAAAGCAAACGAGGGTTTGTTAGCACAACGCGAATTATGGCAAATCTTGTTTAATTTTGTTATTTCCTAAATTTAGGGGTGGGATAGCAATCGGGAGACACTAAGAAAGAGAAAAAATAGTCCCCACATTTTCAAATGGCTTGTCAATAATTGCCACGATTTGTTGCCTTTTCTTGGCAGTTTTTACTGACCATTTATGTGCTCATCTGATTTTACCTGACCTAGTTAAATATGTAAAAATCTAAGTAAATACCCCAATACATTATTCTTTGACAGATTATAGTGGTCAGTGACATTTATATAATCCTGGTCCGCATATTCAAGTTTGGAAATAGAGAAGGAAATATTTGATATTTAAAAATGTTCTTGGGAAGATTATAAATTAAGCAAACTTCTGTATTGTTCGGTTAGGGGCTATGAAATGTTACTTCTCCTCCTATATTTACTTTTTGCCTTGTTTATTAAATTCGGAGATGTTATGAACGGCTGGCACTAAGGCGATTTATGATGCTCTTTACAACCTTTAAACTTTTCGAATTACTTTAGATAGTCTTCCTATTTTTATTTATTATTTTTTTTTTTGCCATACAAATATTTTATGCCGTGGTTTTACAACTATATGATTGAAAATGTTAAACAACTTGTTAGCCGTAAATATACACTTTTTGACCAGTAATCACAATTTTCTAAGGATATATGTGTAGTACACGTGTTCATTTTATTATTTACAAAGCCGACAGTAAAAAAAATTATAATTCTATCAAGCTAAAATTCCAAATATCTATTTAAATGCAATATATATATTTTTTCTTGATGACTTTCGAAAACAATTTTCGAACAATTATCTTGTATGGGTATTTCCTTTTCGGCGCTTTGAAAGTTCCGGAAATGATTATGTTATATTATTTTATTGTTTTATCATTTAGGTCCAGTTCATTGCAGTCTTTTCCTTATTTAGACAGGGTTAATGGACCCTTTGAGAGTGTATTGTACTGTGGTAGGCAGTGATACATCTATTGACAAAACGTTCTATTGCCCAAATCAAGTCACCTCTGAGAAATGAGAGATTACACCTGTCTATCCCTTCAGCTATGTTATTCTAACGGTTGTCGTATAATAGTCGTCAGGAAAAACATTTTTGAATTTGTCTTGCTTCTGAATTTGTATGTTTTCCTACAAGTTTGTTTTCAATCGACACCTGTGCTTCGCGGCAAACTTCAAACAAATGTTTTAATATACACTGACCGCTCTTACTAATCCTTCAATGTTCACTATGAAAATAATGAAAAATCACGAAAAAATAATAAATTTTAAATTTTGGGCTAGATTTTTCACATATGTAGAACCGTACGTACGACGCACCTGATATTAAAATGATCAATTGCCGAGATTGTGTAAACTTTAAGAATTATTATTCGAACATGTGCACGAAATGTACATAGACATCATGGTCTTGCTGATGTTTACATATTTATGGCGGAATAACATTGAAATCCATATAAGACAAAATTGTAAACCGCCTGGGTCATAAATCTGCTGATGATTTGTAGCCTAGCCAGTGCTGCCATTTTTATTGACTACAAATAGAAAGGACTTGGTATCGGGTCAAAGCTTTCGAAATGTAGTAAATTTTTCTTATCTGTTAAAACAAAATCGGTACAAACAGTTTAAAATGTGAGAAAGCTAACATACAAATATAATATAATTACATTTTCATTAAATGCAACAAATATTGTTAACAAACAAGGGAAAAAATAACTATATTTGAAAGTTAAAAAAATATAATATAAATGAATTAAAATTATTTTTTTTATATAATATAAAATAAAATGTAATAAACAAATAATAAAAAGGAGCAAACAGAATAAAAGAAAACAAAAAAAAATTAATTTAAATAAATAATCATTTATTTGTTGTCCTCTTAAGAACTCTAAGAAATTAATATGTTTTACTAAACTATAATTTCTATGAAGTTTATTTTATTAATTCGGTGCTGATTTTTTTCTCCTCATATAAATGTAATTTTGAATTTTGTATTTATCCAAGAAACCGTTGTAATATTG